TCGGGCTTCGTTCAGGAGTCTTTGCACCAGGTGCGAGATGAGCGTATTTGCATTTGTCGCCTTTTGTGCACTTGTTCTGTGCGAAATCCTTGCACTGTGCGACGTGCGGGTAGTTACACTTATCACCTCTGGTACATGTGTTGCGCTTGGCAAAATCGAAGCAGAACGGCCTTGATGCTGGCTTCTTGTGATTCGCAGGAGTGGACATACTACGGCGGGGGTTGCCACCAGCCGTTGATGTTCTGGAAGATTTGTCGTTCTTCCAATCCCTGGAATATGTATGTAAAGCCTTGCACCGTTCACCATTGCGACAATTGCCTTTCTTCCATGCGACGCACACGTTGACCTGAGATCGTGTCTCGTGTTCGTACCGTAGCTTGTTTTGATTCTTCTCCAATTGTTTAATCTCCAGTATGTCCAGGACACGCTGTCGAAGCCAACCGTAGGTACGATTCGGGTCGCTCATCTTCATGCGCTGGTACTCGTACATGTCTTGTTTCATCCATGCATGTCTACGAATCTGTGTGCGGAATAGCGATTCCAATATCTTTGGATCGGGTACTTCTCGGCATTCCAAGAGTAAGGCGTCCCAATCGGTAATGAAACGTTGCAAATCTTCGTCTCTCATCCTCAGTTCTTTAAGGCGCTCGAAATCGTGCAGGTCGTCGTCGACGTCTGTCACTTTGTAGGACTGTAGGATATGCCAGTATATCTGGCGTCCTTTGAGCATGCGTCCTGCTTTGTGCTCTCTGGTCTCGATGAGCCTGATTTGGTAGCGTAAGTCTGAGGATAAGATGTCGCTCAGAGCGGTTGCGAGTTTGCAATCGATGCTCTCAAAGTCTCCACTGTCTTGTAAATCCTCGAATGTACATTCGGGCTGTTCTGCCACGCATAGGAAGGCGTATGCTTTGGATGGTCGCCCTGAGGCGGCCCCGAAGTTCTTTCGCACTCTTTGCTGCCATTCCAGCAGCTGCGTGATCTTAGGCAAGACAGGTACTCGAACGGTGTCTGACTCCTTGATAGGCGTCGTTGTATGTACCGACACCGCAGACACTGGTTGTGAGGGTATCGGTGCACCGTCGATGGTTGGTTCTGTGCGCACAGGAGACACATGTCGTGTCTGTGCAGAAACTGCCGCGGAGGCTGCTCCTGGAGATGTACGTCGTTGTTGTCCTGCTGAAGCTTGTGGTGCTTCGGCGGACGCTGCCGTCGGCCTGTGCGGGTCGGCTGCAGGTCGAAGGTGAATGTTGGTGTCGTTAGTGTGGTCGATCAGCTGATTCGTCCAGCTCGTCATGTCTTCTTGTATTTGACCCACCTTTTGGCGTGTGTACTCATCAGTATCCCGAGAACGTTGTGAATACCGATCAAGTCGATGCTCGCATGCTCGGAGACGGGCGCTTTGTGCCTCCACTTCGCTTTCCAGACGTGCGAGGTAACTCTCTACACGTACCTTCTCAGTATCTCTTTCATGAATAACCTGGGAGAGCTCTAACTGCGTGTGGTCCGCCGCCTTCTCAACCTCCTGCAACCCGTCAGTGAGGCGGGCGAAATCGTAAACCGTGGGAGGAGAATCCAGCTGATCAGTCTGGGCTCGTCCGACACGCAACTCTGCCAGGGCGTCCTGTACACCAGGGAAACGCTGCTCTATGTCAGAGATCCGGTTAGCGAGTGGCTGCACGACAGCGTTGGTCGCATCAAGCCTTTGAGTGATGACTCTCTCAGTACGCTGCAACATGTCGATCAGGTTCGACGAGTTTGTGTGTGCTTCGGTACGAAGCGTCGCCGTAGTGTGGTCTAGGTAAGATCGAAGATCATTGATCTGAGACTGAACGTCGCCGAGGTCTGTGGCCTCGGTTGGGGTTGGTCGGTTACGGAGCTGGTCGTGGATCTCATCGTGTAAAATCCTGACCGCAGAAATGCCTGTGTCGCGTACGATCACAAGTTGTTGCTCCATCTGCGCGAGATAGTTGCGCAGGTTCTCGACCATCGCCGTTCGTTCACCTGAGTGTGACACCTCACGATCAACCTGGTACTGCAGTTCTCCTATGATGCGTCTATCTTCGGCGATCCTGGAATCGATGATCCCTAAGGCGCCGTCAAGATCGCGACGTATGGCTGCAGTATCAGTGGCGTTCGTCTGAACGCTCTGTAGTAGTCCAGAGTATTGGCTGGACACGAAGGTTTCAACCTGGTCTCTGAGCTCAGCTATGTCACCTGCGGCGGACGTCTCCGCCGGCTGGTCGTCTGAGATGGAGAGGTGGGGAGCGTCAGCTTCCCTGTGTCCCCTGTCGCGGGGAGTGCATGGCCTCTGAGAGGCAGTACGCGGGCTCGACCTGCGCTCGCCGCATGGGCCTGGGGCTCCACGGCGGTTGCGCGCGGACGAGCTGCGACTCGGACCATGTGTGTGTGATGTCTCATCCGATGATACCTTGGGGTACCGCGTCTGTGGCTGTGCCGACACTGGTCTACTGAGTTCCTCGAAGGTAGCTACGTGCTCCGCCACAGGGACGGTCGCAGGGCTGGGGGTTCCAGCACCTGAGGTCCATCGGCGGTTAGCGCGGAAGCGCCCTGGAGTATCGAGACCGGCAAGGCTTTCGCCTGACGCGGTTGGGATTGCTCCCGACGGGGAAGGGGAGGGAGGATCAAAGGTCGGCGTGTGAAACTCCTTCCTTCCTGTTCCTACTCCTTCTCCTGTCCCCCCGCGGGCGGCGCTGCGGCGAAGTTCAGCAGCTAGACGCGCCTCGGGTCCTCGGGAGCTGGGGGGGGTATCGGGGACACCAACACAGTCCGCACTAATGCTCTCCAACTCGTCACCGAGCCGTCGCACCGTGGGAGAGCTTGGACGCGAAGCCCCAATGGAACCCTTACGGCGCATGCGCCGAAGCGGCTCCATTGGGCTCGCATGCAAGGTCACCGCGGGCGAGTCGGTGAAGGCGAGCGTTAAAGGGCTGATAACCTGTGTATGGGGTTGAAGTACAAGAGTACAGAACCCCTGATCCGTTGGTAGAGAGATGGAGGGATAGATGGATATCTTTCCCTCCCTAGCGATCAAGGTACGATCGCACCAACTCAGTACCTGAGCCCAAACGGCCAGGTGCGGGAGAGGTAAGGATAAGGAGTATATATGAGGGTATTACACGGGTTCCATACACAGCACGTCCCCCACCAAGCGAGAGCCCCGACCTGCCCCAGCGCGCTTCTGACGCAGCCACTCGTCGTGGAGCTCGGGCGCGACCGAGGCAACAGCGACCCACTCGTCGTCTATCAAGGCCATGGCGATCGACCCGTCGGTCGACTGGATGAACGAATCCCGATCCGCGGCGATGGCGGGCGGCAGCTCGTCGTCGAAGCCTGCGTGAGCTGGATCCGCCACTCGCCACACCGCCTGAACAGGAAGGGCAGCTCCGCGCTGGTGATCCCCAGGATGTCCAGCAAAGCCACCGCCCGCGCGGGGACCTGCCAGTTCTGCCAGCTACACCGGGTCGAACACGTACGCGGCGCGAGCGTACTGACGCGGGGTGGGGGCATCCCGCTCCAGGGCGATGATCCGATGCGAGTTCAAGTCGGCCACCTGCACACTCAGATCGGGAGCGCATATAATCCAGCGGCCTGGCACAGGGGTCGGCTTCAGCAACAAGCGGTGATGCCAGTGGAAGCCATTTTCGTCTTCGAAGAAATCGATGAGGCATTGTCGCTCTGCGACGTCCAAAGAACGCACACCAGCAGCCGCCATCTTAGCCTCTCAAGGCTCGAAGACTAGCTGGAGTATGTGGGCCAGGTCCACGCGGCGCGACTGCTGGCTGTAGGGTGTCAGGCGTAGCCTCCTGATGACTGGTCAGCGCCAACTGCGGGCCTCGGTGGGCGCGGGTCCAAGCAGCCCCAATGAGGATGCCCGTCAAGAGGGACACGATGATGAACACGAAGACGGTCCCGAAGCTAACGCCCGTGTCGGGCGGGTAGATGCAGTTGCAGTCGCAGCTCGGGCAAGACGGCTGGGTAAGCCTCTCGGGCCCACAACGGTCGAGCTGGCTCTGCCAGACCGACAGGACCTTCTCGTCGGCCGAGGGGGCCTCGAAGGTGCAGACACAGGTGTGGCCCGAGGGAGCCGCCAGTCGGCTCACCAAGGCGATGGCACCAGCGTTGGCAACACCAGTCAGCCCCCGCGCGAGCCAGTCCATGCACAGCCGAGGGACGAGGCGGGCCTGGACGCGAAGCGCTCTTGAGCCAAGAGCACGAAATACAGAGAATGAATGCAAAATCGAGCGTCAAAATTTTCAAAAATAATGACGCTGGTTTTTGGCCTAGAACGCCCTTCCTCTGCAATCTGGACAAACAGTGCACACACACACACAAAAAGGATGGACGACGGCTCCGTTTAAAAATGGAGTTTTCGCTTGTGACTTCCCTGGTTGTTCAAACCCGCAACTTCCATGTATGTAGCAGCTGCACGAATGGTGGGTGGCTCCTGTAAAAATTGGTGCGACATCCTCGATGTTCATGGCCAGAAGTGCACCCATGAGCAAGAGTTATACGAACGGGGGGTGGTCCTTTTCTCAAAACAGCGATCTCGCTGGACACCACGTTCAACTGCATGATTATACGTTTTCGCACTCATGGCTATGCGATAGAAGGATGCAAGGCAGTTCCATTTCAAAACGGTGCCTTCGCCAGAAGAGCAAGACCCTCCGGGTGCTGGTCTGTCAATGGGGCGCTTCTTGCGGTGAGAGGGAAAGCTTGCAGTGACACACGAAGAGGGGGATTGGGACGGGAGGATGCCTTGCAGCATCGCTGATGTATATCGGGTTACTCTGGTTCTCCTCCCTCCCCTCCTCCTCATCACCCTCTCCCTCCCCACCCCACCCCCAAGCCTCATCCTCCGCCTCCAGCTTTACTTACCCCCACCGCCCCCGCCACCCACCTCGGGGGCTCCGCCGGGCGCCCCTCCGGCCCACTTCTCGGCGCGTCCGCGCGCGACAAGGGCGGCACTGCATCTGGCGCGC